AGAGAGAGAGAGAGAGAGAGAGAGAGAGAGAGAGAGAGAGAGAGAGACTGTGAGATGTCTCAGCAACTGTGAGCTGTCTTGGTCAGGTGGAGAGGGTGCCTATCTGTTCACCTCTCCAGCCCTGTAATGCTCGTCCTCCTAGCCTGGCCACACAGATACTTGGAAAGCTCCAGAAGTTGCTGTGGTAAGACCCAGCAGGGGCCCCATGGTTGGGACGGATCCAGCTTTCTCCTCCATATCCAGAAGCCTTAAGTGTGGAATCCATTGGAGAGTCACCAGCAAACAGGTACAGATGGGACAAAATAACAGAAATACTGCAAGGGACAGAGAATAGTAACATGGCAAAGGGATTCTAAGTCAGGTTGGGGTTTTGGAAAGGTGACCAAAGGGTTTGGTTAGAAAAAAAAGTCAGATAGTTTTCTCCTGCTCTTGGCCCACAGTTTGTGAACAGCAGACATAGCAAGGATGTACTTGTGAGTGTTTTCCAGTAGATACTTCCTGCTCTTGATCCACACACTCACTTCCAGGATGATTTGTCTCTTATCTACCTCTCCTGCCTCTTCTCTTCCTCCACCCTCCCCTACCACCCTTCCTCCCCCACACCCACCACCCCACATAATACACAGAAATCATTCCGGGACCCAATATCTAAATAGCTATCATTCCATCTCTCTGGAAGCAAACCACACAAGTGAGCTCATTTTCCATGAAGGCTCCAGGCTTCGTCTGTCTTGAGAAGTATGACTCCTTTACTGTATTCCAGTGAGATGCCTTCGTCACGCACTCTCTCCTGAGTGAGAAATGGCACAGGGAGGTGGATGTGGACGATTCACATCAGGAGGCTCCGTTCTGGAATCTGCTGGCCATGAACCCGGGCATGTTGTTTATTTCTTACTAGAGCCCCGAATCCCACTTAATCCCACCGCCTCCAGAATGCAGGCTGATGTCTAGCAGGAGGGGGGAGAAACCTGAGAATTGTCCACACCTCGCTCTGAGCCACACAGCTCTTGTTTCACCTTAAATCACGAGGGATTTGGAGTAAGAACTTTAGGAGTCCCGTGTTAGTGGGCAGGATGGCAAGATTAAAAACTCAAAAGGTATACCGTATCCTGAACAGATGAGCTGTGTGTCTACTGAAAAATCCTCACGCAAGTACATCCTTACTGTGTTTAATGTTTGCACACTGCTGAGGCTGAGTCTGTTGCTATGTACTATAATGCTAAATTCTGTACCTGAAGGTCTAGGCCGTGAGTGAATTCTCATGGTTACCAGCTTTTGTTGTGCAAAGCTTGTTCCTAAATTGAAAACTATTGCTTAAATAAAAATGGCTATAGCCAATTACTGGAGGGATTAGAGACAGGCAGCTTGAGAGACCTGCCGAGCAGGGCAGGAAGAGAGAGAGAGAAGGATGCAGGAGAGAGGAGGAAGCTGCCATGAGAGGAGATGGATCATGAACACATGGCCAGGAGAAACAGCGAGTATTTGGGATACATTGCTGAGGGAGTAGTCATCGGTTAGAAAAATAGATTAGGGGTTACACCCTCCCCCCCGCGTTGTCAAAGACAAACCATCGTCTGAGTCTCATTCATTCATAAGCTAGACAGGGATAAGATCAAATTGGCTGTACTATAACAAACATCCTGTAAGACAAATACTATTTGTCTTGGGTTGTATTCAGAGAAATAAATCTCAGAGAGAAAGGTAATTCCCTGATCCTTGTGCCAGGCAAGGGAGAAAAGCCAGGTTGCTTTAACCCATTAGCTGTCCATTAAATCCCTGCTTTAAAAGCCAAGTGCAGCTGTTACTGAGCTGATGCTGCTTAAACCTGGGTCAGAGGCACCTGGGGATTCATTGTGCTGTTCCAGCTCTCTGGGCTAGTTTAAAAACAATCGCACTTCGAAGTATAACCATCATTGCTGGCTTCCCTTTCCCTTCAGATATCTCGCTATTGTCCACCCTTTGAAACCACGGATGAATTATCAGACCGCCTCCTTCCTGATCGCTTTGGTCTGGATGGTCTCCATCCTCATCGCCATCCCCTCTGCCTACTTCACCACAGAAACCACCCTCGTTATCGTCAAGAATCAGGAAAAGATCTTCTGTGGTCAGATCTGGCCGGTGGACCAGCAGCTCTACTACAAATCCTACTTCCTCTTCGTCTTCGGGCTTGAGTTCGTGGGTCCCGTGGTCACTATGACCCTGTGCTATGCCAGGATCTCCCAGGAGCTCTGGTTCAAAGCTGTGCCTGGCTTCCAGACGGAGCAGATCCGCAAGCGGCTGCGTTGCCGCCGCAAGACAGTGCTGTTACTCATGGGCGTCCTCACAGCCTACGTGCTGTGCTGGGCGCCTTTCTACGGCTTTACCATCGTGCGAGACTTCTTCCCCGCGGTGGTTGTGAAGGAGAAACACTACCTCACCGCCTTCTATGTGGTGGAGTGCATCGCCATGAGCAACAGCATGATCAATACTATATGCTTCGTGACGGTCAAGAACAACACCATGAAGTACTTCAAGAAGATTCTGCTGCTCCACTGGAGGCCCTCTCACTACGGGAGTAAGTCCAGTGCGGACCTCGACCTCAAAACCAGTGGAGTGCCTGCCACAGAAGAGGTGGATTGTATCAGACTGAAGTAGCCTGCAGGTGTTGCCCAAGGGAAAACTCAGCATTCGATACTCAGTGTATCACACACCATCAACCACTCACAAGCATCATGGAAAGATATAGCTGTATTCATGCTCTCCTCCTCGAATGTATCAAGATGTGTAACATACAGCACAACTGATGTCTACATAACACCTCAAGAGACTGGACACAAATAGTAACAAGTGACCTGGACTGAGGGCTTCTGTCTGCAAACCACACCAACAGACTATTCAAGGACAAGAGCTGACATTTGAGGTCACTAGGAAGAGATCACAAATGATTAGCCAGAATCATGCTCCGTATTCTTTCATTCTGTATCTTTTCTGCACAGAACTGTCAAAGGCAATAGAATAAAGCACTTAGGCATACTAGAAATGTAAGGATAACTCCATCAATGGAGACCACAGCCTAACAGGAAGAGGGTCCAAACAGCATACTGACTTTCTCCACTCAGCACCAGTTATCTCCTTAGATATTCTGTACTTATCTGCAATGTTGTAATTTCAAAGTGGGGGGGAGGCTTTACCATGGATGAATCAAATCTCATCAGCCTATAGGGTGAAGATGGGAGCTCCTGAGACAAGAAATGTATCCAGTTCTGGATACTTTAATGCCGAGGATTTCAGGGCTCTGGGGTCATGGAGGAAGAGAACACAGAAAGAGCAGAGGTTTCAAGTGACAATAGTATAATCTGTCCATTTGCTATGATTTGGACAATTTTCTAGAACATACTCTGACTTACAAAAGGAGCTCTACTTGAGATCCAAAGATCCGGGTAAAAGTCCTAACTCCAGGACTCATCTCTGTGTGTCTCCACTTTAATGAAATGGGAATAATGAAAACGGATCGTTAGGAACATCCGCCGGGTGGAGTCGTGGTGTGGATGTGATTTTCACCTCTTCCCTTGTTAAGAGTGTGATACTGAAGAGCTCATTACAGGGAGTTTGGAACGGAGAGACAGCTCCACAATTTTCATCCCTCTTCTTTGGATCAGAGGCCACTGAACTCATTTTGAAGTAGCATATCTATAGTGGGACATAAAGGTCTTCCCGTCACAGAGTGCAACCAAGAAGATACAGTCAACAACCATAACTTCCTCCCTGTGGTCTTAGACAGTCGTCCCAACATAGCATTGGTGACCCCAGGACTGAATCCACTTGTGTCATTACATCATCTACTGAACACTAGAGTTGATCATGTTGGCTAGCTGGGTATTTCCTTCCTCTTTCACAGCCCCATACGTATCCTTCCCTTAAACTGCACGCTCGGTTACCAAGGAAGACCTTAAACACAGGAGGACCATTATTCTGTCCAGGACACAGGAGTGTCATGCTTCCCTGATAAACCTCTAAATAACCTCATCAGTAGACACTGTACACTTCACATGTCAACATAATTTGCCTCCTTCTTGTATTTAAACAAATCATTCTCCTTTTGTTTAGATTTAACTAGAAAGCATTCCTGTAAATGTCAATGTGTTTGTTATATCCCAGTGAAAAATGGTATGTTGTTATCATATGGAATAAATAACATACAGAATTATAATTACCGTGCCCAAAAGGTTCCCTACTAATGTTTTATGCTATGTTTATATGTTTGATGAAGTTGTATAGCTGTCTGAGCAACTCGAGCCTGAAATGAGAGAATTCCCAAAGGTGTTCTTAGAGCAGGGCCATCTCAGACTAGCAGCTGGCCTCAAGTATGTGCTCTCTCAGGAGTGTGTTCTTGAACGTGAATTGGAAGAAAACCATTATCCTCTGTCCCCCCCCCCTTGCTTATAAATGATTTTTAAAATGCAGGCTTCTTTTCATTTAGAGAATATTTATGCCTCTGGTTAGAGCTAAGGTAATAAGTTAATTACATTTGTGTTCAATCTTCCCAAGACTAATTAAAGGCAAGCTTAAGACTTTTAACATGTCAAGATAAGTACACATTTACGCCTACTATTTCATGTAGAAAGTTAATCTCATTGAGCAAAGCCAGATCTACTTCCCTGGCCACAGTATGAAAAAAGATGGTTACACAATGAAGCTGTTACAGATTTTTGTTAAGCATCCAACATTTAAAATGAGTTACTTCTAAATTTGGAGAAATCAAAAAATGCTTCGGGCCCTGAGGCATGACAAACAACTCCAGACTTCACAAGGAACAATGTGACATGTGGGAGGTAATTAGAAATCTTAACAAAAGTTCTGTTTCTACTTAAAAATGGTGGCTCCAAAACCCATCTTTGCAACTGACCGTATACTCCCTTGGCTGCAAGAAGACACACACACACACACACCCCACTAGGACACCAGACCAAGAAATGCCTTGAGAACATAATATTCAGCTCCTTTCTTTGGTGGATCTGAATTCCAAAGAAGGAAATGACCTATAATGGGTACACAGTTAATTCTTACTAGAGCTAAATCCTTGTCCTAGGGTTTTATCTTCAAGACGATGAGCAGCTTTCAGTGACTGCCTATACCTGAGTCCAAAGGACCTGGCACACCATGGTGGCAGGTTCCAGAATATGTAGAATCTTAAGTCTCTAGGTTACTTTGCTTGTTCATTAAAAAGAAGTTAAATCCCCATTCTGGATGCCCTGTGGTATAAACTAAGATCAAGAGACAAAGTGTGGGTTGTACATAGGGATTCCTTGAAGACAGCTGTTGGAAGTTCATGGTACCCAGCCCTAGCCAGAAGATATTCAAAAAATAACATCCAGTTCTTGTAAATGAGCATTTCTTTAAAGGGTTTTCCATTGTGCGCTTTAATTAATATTAATTTTAATGTATACACTCTTTTCTACATACAGTTGAAAATATTAAGTATATGTATTCTTGTGTTGTTATGATATATATGTATATGCATAGTCTCATTGTAGGATTGCATGTTTGTAAATTTGTTTACAATATACAATGTATCTGTAATCCCCAAATCAGTACTTGTGATGCTTTATTGACATGTGTATAGGCACACAAAATAATGATTTTTAACTGATGCACATGTTTCCAGTAGAGGCTGAACAAACTGAGACTCTGCCTTCTTATTTCAGCTATAAACAAGTATTTGGTACAGGATAAGAGGGGCATTTACCTTACAGTGCAAGAGTCCCACTTCTATACTGTATAAAGAAGGGCCTGCACATACACACTGCTAACAGCTTGTTTGTTCTAAGCTAACCTTTAGCCTATATGTGATCTAAATGGTGGCTCAGGAGAAGTAGGAGACCCTTCCTCCACTCCCCCTCCCAATCTCCATCCCTTGGCTACATAGAAAAAGTACAGGAGGAGACAGGGAGAGAGCCACCAACACTTAGGATCTCAGAAACCAGGCTGACCACCACCTGGCCAGAGGGCAATCTCAAATGTGGGAATGATTGGTGGCCTTTGTGCTGATTCACTATAAAATTATGCTAACCAGAGTGGACCAAAGCAGACAGATCTCTCTGGCTTCTCAGAAGCTGGCTCTCTGGATACAACAGTCTATAGATTCTACTCCTGTCTCTGATCACTGGTTTCTGTGAAGGCAGGCAACATGGGCTTTAGTATCCTGTCACATATGCTTTCAAAGTACATTTAAGCCATGTGTTAACATTTGAGGGCCTTTTCTCATTCGTCTCATTGTTTATAGGGCCCAAAAACGGTGCTTAAGTGATCTCTGGTGTTCCCAAGTACAAAACAGCTGTGAAATATCTTACATAGAAAATAAATATGTTAGAAAAGCTTTATTTTAGTGGCATTGGCCATGAACTCAATGTCAAGGAAGCAAGTATGTGTTAAATAAAGTTATATTTAAATGGAAGCATGCATTTAAAATATTGTATGGTGACCAGTTGACAAAATGTGACCAGTGGCCTGAGGGGTGTGACCCCAAGCTTTCCTTGTGAGCAACTGATCAGTGTTTGCTAATTCTTTTCTATATACAGTATTTTCTAATTCTACATTTAATAACTTTGTTGGACATTCTTGTGAAGAATAAGGATTAAGTCCTGTCTCTTGAGTTCAAACTTTGACATAACACATAACTTGGGACTCTGGCTAAATGAAACCTGAAGGCTTACAATTTTAATTAACCAAACTGTCATTTTCCCGCAGCATCCTCGCCACCACCTCCTTCCCAGTCTGCCACTGCGATGCAACTTGAAACCCTTGAAGAGAGAGCCCTGTAATGGAAATGTACACACTTACCCACGCCACAGTCCACACTTTCTGCAGACCACATGTCCTAAAAAGAAGCTTTCTCCCCATTAAAAATCTGACAGCTAAAGGCTGGAAGTTCTGTAGCACTGTTACAGACAAGGAAGAAGACAACCACACACACACACATACACACACAAACAAACACACACACCCCTCTTCATCCCACAGTGGAAAGGAGGATAGCACTGTGGAAGACTTTAACTGAGTGTTTACATGGCATTTCAAAAGAAAGAGGCTGATCTTTGCAAAGCCATGATGAGGGACTGTTGTTAATAGACAATGCTATTTCTTTTCTGTTCTTTTTGTTGTTTGGGGTTTTGTTGTTGTTGTTGTTCTGTTTGTTTTTTGACACAGGATATTTCTATGTAGCTCTGGATGTCCTGGATCTTTCTAGGTAGACCAGGTTGGTTTCTAACTCACAGAGATCCATCTACCTCTGTCTCCTGAGTGCTGAGATTAAAGCGTGCACCACCACACTTGGCTGCAATGCTATTTCTTCCAACAGACCCAGGAACACAATATGTAGAGGTCTGAGACAAAAGAAAGAATCCCTTCAATACAAATGATGTTTAGCTCTACCTAGGATATGTGGTCTCAAAGATCATGGTGCAATTATAAACGAAAACCTGTCTCTGTGTGTCTCAGCTGTCTCTGACAATTACCACTGTCCTTGAATAGAGGGATATCGAAGTCACACAGCCTTCCACCCCAATTCAACATCCCTCCCTGAGAAATATAAAGGAGGAAGAAGCTTGCCTGCAAATACACAGATTGCAGACCTTGAAGAAAAAGCTTGTTCTGGGCTGCCTGTGGAATTGAGAATGGCAAAAGACCATCTCTTAACTACTGGAAGCATCTTAATGAAAACTAGGGGCACTGAAAGGGATAAGACATAACAGGTAAGGAAAGTTGGGCCTGCCTCACTCCAGCCCAGTGACAAACACTAGAGATAGTCAGTAATGACCGGGGAATGGAGAGAGTTAGATACAGGTATCTCTAGGTCACCAGCAGCAAAAAAGAACACAGAAGTGAGCTAGGAGCCATGATACTCTGGTTTCTGACTCAATCATAGACATATAAAGTACTTTAAAAGAAACTATTGCCCTACTAATTAAGGTCAAAGTCTACAACTGTCTAGATAAAAGTGCATTGGCAGGGCTTCCCCTTCTCTGATCTTGTCTGGGAAGTTCAACTCCTCTCCCACACCTCTACCTGAAAAATGTCACATAGCCTTGGCTAAGATTACAGGATCAACTTCCTTTCTCCCAGTAAGAATCCATTCTGCTCACATCCGAGATTCCTGAAATGC